TGTTATGCAGCTTTCTGAAGCCATTTCAGGTCTGAGGGTGAATATGTGGGTCTCAGGAGATCCAAGTTGTTGCTTTTTTTCCCCTATATATGCAGTTTCCATGTATAAAATTGTGTTAGCAGGGATTCGCTGTCTCTTAAAGGTGTTGTTGGAGTAAACATTAGAAAATTTTAGGGCAATATAAATTTATCCGTACAAAAGGCAAATATTGCCTGGCAGCATTTCACATAATTCTTATTACTATGGCATCACCCTCCTTTTGTTACAATGGGAAGGGCCACCACCTATGTTTTTGGGGGGAAGCAGTGAAAGGCTGTTGTTTCACAGTGAAGACTTGAGGGAACCTCAGACTGAAGGTCTGCTCAGTTCTGCTCCCAGAGTCTGTCCTGTGGATCCTGCCTGACACTCCTACTTTATTTGCATGGAAATGTTGCTGAAAGTAAAGGTTTGTACAGAAACTTTCACATGACTCCAACATTCTGGTAAAGTGTTGAAAAAGAGAAAAACAATGTTCACCCATTCATCACTCATGACTGAGTGAGCCAGCAAACTGGGAAGAGTCAGGAAGGTTGCTCCAGATGAAGACTCATATATCATCAACACTGGGACTGCTTAATCCTGGCTAGGATAAGAGAGGAAACATTTTGACTAAGTTGCAGTGAATCTCAAGTGAGTTTTCAAAGGAAGGCAGAGGATACCAAACCGACGTAAGTGAAAAGGAAGAAGATACTGGAGCATTGTGACTTATGACAAACCGGTCTGTGCATAAGAGAAACCAGATTATGGTACTATACCTAGTAGAGTAAGGAAAAAGTGTCTGAGCAGGAAGATTTTGGTGGCTGGAAGAGACATAAGGCAAGGCACGCCAGAATAGTAGAGCAGAGGTGAAGTCCTCAGCTTTGCTAGAGGATTTATTTGAAACTAGTGTCCTGGATAAGAGAAACAGATAGAGTAAAAGGAATATCTTAAACCTGGGCCCCATCCTTGGCTGTCCCAGCAGGATCATCAAGGAATTCCTTTCCTGAAGTCAATAGAACCATTCAAGGCTGCCTCCCACCCTCACCCCACACAACACCTTTGCTGCAGGAGGGCTGCTCCAGGTGGCCACTCTTCTGAAACTTTCCTTCAGTCTTAGAGCAGATTTATTGCTGGCTAGTTTTTCTTAATTTATCCTAATGGAAACAGCTCTTCTTGACATTTTCTCACATTTACTGTCTATTTTTAGAGAGCAGTTGTGCAGAGAATGATCTGGCATGGAGACTATGAGCTTATCTGAAAGTGTTGCAAAAAATAAAGGACAAATTTAAAAATATTTAAAAAAAACACTGGTAAAAACCCCTATTTCCCTTTAAAAACAACAGTTACCTTGTTTTGTTGATTAATAATTAATGAAACAAATTAACAAAGTGTAGAGCAGTTCAGGGAAGGCTGGATGCTCATATTGTGCTCAGAACATGAAAAAGGAAGAGATAATATTTCACTATTTAAAGATGTAAATTCACAACCTGGAGGATATTCCTTCGTAACTATATCTGTGCAACTTGAAAACTATCAAAGACAAAGGCCTATCTATGAGGAATATGAGAGAGACCATTTTATGAGACACAGCAAGGAAAACAAAAAAACATGGGCAGCAAAGGTTTTTGAGAGCTGAATATTGAGGATCAAGTATTTGGTAACACTACTGGTAGTGGAATGGCTGGGCTATTTGAAGAAGAGTTTTCTTGATGGACAGATTGAAGGAAGAATGACTACTGGGAAATATCTCTAGTTCATGGAGGGGCTTTGAGTATTTAGTGGTATTTATACTTAATACTAATATTAAGAAGGACATGAGCAAAAAATTCCAAACAGTGGAACCTCAGTGGAGTTAAGTTGCTATTGCACTCATGAAATTCAGACGAAAATCACATCCAGTGACTACCTGATGCTAAATTTGTTTTCCTGTGGCAAACATCACATCAGACTGCAGATCGCCTGTACTTTCAGTGCTAAATAAAAGGCCCTGACTTCCAGTGCAATTTTCTTGTTGTTCCGGCTACTTAATTAAGCCAATATGATCGAGAAGTCCATGAACCTTGCATTTTTTTCCCAACAGAAATGGAAGTAACTGGTTTGGTTTTTCTTTTTTCATCCATTTATATATTTAGATTTCAGATGGGACTGAATTGTAGCAATTTCTGGGTTGCTCATTCTGTTCTGGCAGAGGCTCAGGTGCTTAACAGTGTCAGTGATTGATTTCAGGGAGGGCAGCTGGAGAACTTGGCCAGACATGGACACTGCGCATGCAGAATCGTCAGATTTTAAATCAGGGAAGTCAGGGGAGTTAATCTCCTTCAAAACTGCCTGGAGAGAAAAAAATCAGCTCTTTAGAGGGGACTATTCACACTACATTCAATTTTGCACAGGTAGATTAGTTGCCAGAACGAGGTGCCCAAGCTCACCTTGGCTTTCCAGAGACGAATTCAAGGGCTTGAGTTACTTTCTAGAGCTCACATTAAATGTTTAGGGAGGCACATCTCCCGGATTCAGGTAACTAAATTCAGTGCCAGAGGTAGGACCATGTGAATAGTCCAGTCTACGTTGAGTGATCTCACGTCACCTTATAGTACACCTGAAGAATATATTAAGCTAAAGGGACTGCTCGCTCACTTAACAAAAAAATTGCATGATCTGCTGTACTGGAGGAAATCTGGGATAGCTCTGCTTAAGTCAGTGGAATGGAATTGAACAGATTTATACCAGTGCAACATTTACCCCTAAATTTAATAGGTAGAACTAATCTACCTATATGGGAGTTGCTAGGAATATGCCAGACAATTAAATTCATAGAAGTAAAGAGGGGAATGGAAATGAAAAAATGTTTAGTTAATTTCTAGTGCATTCTAAAGTGTAAAGGCACTCTAAAATTGATTTACTTTTAAAGGGGGACTATGATTATGCCTCATATCTAACTATCTCTTGTTTGAAAAATTTTAGTTTTTTTAAATCCACTAACTAATGTCTTCATAGACTAAAATTTCTTCAGCGCATGAAGTGGTTCTCAAAGAGTATGTACAGCCCCTGGCAGACAGAGAGCCAAAGCATTAATTCAAACTTCAGGGTGTTATCACAACTCAAATAATAAGTGGTTTGAAATAAAGTGTCACTTTCAAACTGCTTTAGTGCAGATGGTCTTTTTCTTAATTCCCACCCCCATAGTTAGTGAACTGAGCTTATTGAATTGCTTGTCAATTCTGTTAAGAGGAGAGAGAATGAAACAGGATAAAGGCCATATTTCAGTGAGGCTCCCATGCATTGGCTCCTATCCCCAGATGCCATTATCGACAGAGATTTTACAACTCCACTTCTCTAGCCATCAGTGGCTAGAATTATAAAGAGGTTGAGCATACTTGGCTTGAGTGCCAATAATCAATAAGGATGCTCATCCAGCTTAATAAGAATAAATTGTTGCCCTTGAAACTGCATATCATTGCAACAATCACAGTGAGCTAGGAATATTTCCTTGATATTTATACTAATGCTGTATGTGTGTGTGTGTGTGTGTGTGTGTGTGTGTGTGCGCGAGCATGCATTTTTGTTATATATTTCTTTTACCCTTTGCTAACGATATGAATTCTTCTTGTATATCTTACTATAACGCAGTTAAATGAATTCTTTGGAAGTTCTGCTTTTAAAAGCTCATTTTTTCCACTTCAGGCTGGCTTCTGTCTTTCTAAAGTACACCTTATCCCTCTCCGAAACAGGCTGATAAAACATAGCAGATGGGATTTTTGAAGTGTCCACTCATAGTGGGCCATCACTGTCTCTAAAGCCTATGATCGAATCCTCTCTGGCTTCAGTAGGCCAGATATCTGACTTTTGTGCAATAGAGTTAAACTAATTTTGAGTGCTTAGAAAATCCTAATCCTATTCATATGAGAAGTATTGTTCATACCGCACAGAAAGAATGTGTTCTCATCAGAAGAACTTTTTGTAGCATATAAATATAGCTAACATCAGGATCAGTGGATCACTAGACTCCTACATGTCAATGTTTTAATAAACAAAACAGGCCATTCAGTAAATAAAACATTCCAGGAACCATCTATGGCCCTCAGACATACTTAACCCACGGCTCACTGGCTAAACTCTTTATGGCAAAAGAGCACTGGCTACATCCAACCTTCCTTGTGGGAGTTGTCCAAGCATTTTCTAAGAGACTGTTGTTACCAGGCCAATGTATGCCAGGGACCATGCTAGCAGTGTCATGGTAAGGATGACTGTCGAACACTGCTGCACCCATACTCTGGCACTTCTTGGTTTACCAGTATAGATGTGGCCTGTCACATTTCGACCTTTAAAATTTTTGTTTACTTGTCTCAAGAAAGCTTTGTGACTTCAGACTAGTTTCCACTGCAGACACGTCCTTCATCTAAATTTCATTCCAAAGTTAGCAGGAGCTCTGTGCCCCGGTTGACAGCTTCAGAAGACTTTAAGTTCAAGAAAACATAGAGGCTACCTGAAACATCCGTCTGTATAGATGGTCTGCTCCGAGTATTGCTGAGGCTTGCTGCTAAAACATGGGATGGATGTCTGCAGGACCACTTTCCCGTTTTCTGGGTGGATAGAAGTCTTCCATTTGTAAAGTATATCCTAGCAGTAAATTGTAATTGCTAAGAGCACGACATGGCAAATTCCGTGCTAATCATAGTAAAAATAGAAGCCTATGTGTGCCACAGTAAAAAAAGCTTTGCTTGTCCTCCATATCCCAGGAGTTAGTATGAGAAGGCCTAATGTTTGCTTTGGCTTGCCACTGAGTGTGAGAATGGCAGACCCTCTTCTTGGCTGGCAGCCTGGGCTGTATTACTTCATCTTGAGTGAATAAGTGTGGCCTTGCTGTGGAATTTCAGTGTCCCAGAGACACACTGCTGTGTAGCAGTTTCTGTGGGCTGGAAATGGGCATCTATTTTTCAATGTTTGTTTATGCTATGTTTAACCTTCCATTTCTTTCCTGGCAGATTTTTATTGGCGAAATATCCATGTATTTCATAAAGTCAACCCGAGAAACTCTAATTATTCAAGAGAAAACTATTTTGACTGGAGAGTGCTGTTACCTGAACCCACTGCTTCGAAGAATAATACGTTTTATAGGTAAGCCTCGTTAAGCGCAGTGAGTTGAGTCCCTGTTTGCACAAAAACAGAACAAAAGCTCCTAATGATCTACAGCACAAAATTAATTAAGCTGTGAAATCTTTGCAGGCGTCTTCCACCTTAGAGGGATAGTGCCCCTCGGGATTTGCAAGGTAATATTTGAAATGTGCATATCATGCTGTGTGGAACCGGTTTATATCCTATTTTGCTGAGCTTAATGCTTCTTCTGGACCCTGAAGAAAGGTTATGCTGATCAAATCCTTTTATGAATAATTCCATCATTGCTATTCCGTGTAAGCTGCACATTTTACTTACGAACCTGTACTCAGCAGCCCATCTCTTTGGCATTTTCCTTTTCAATTCTGGTTGTAACGTCTAAAGTATCAGCACATAACGTTCAGCTTAGCAAAAGTAAAGTAAAGACTTTAGTAAAAAAGTCTTGAGCCCACTATGGAATAAAATTCTTCCCTTTATTCTAATTTTTGTTATTGTTGTTGAGATTTTATTGGGTTAATTCCTGAGGAACTAGTGAAGAAATTCTGTCACTGAGCCATTTGGAGATTGATGTATATGAACCTTACAAAGAGCTATGCTTTTTTCACAAAGCTTTCACAAAGCGGAAAAATGCCTATGAGATCTTGCTGAGGGACCATCTCATGGTTCTTTCACAGTGGGAAGAGGAACAGCATTGCAGCCTGCGTCACTTGTGTGGCACTGACGGTAGATGTGGCTTTTTCCTCTGGACTTCCCAATTTGCAGCCTTTTAAGGCTGGCCAGACTTCATGCCTGGGTGTTTAGAAATAAGGAGCACTTTTTACTCCTTTATTGCCTGCCTCTAGCGACACAGTGAGAAGAGGACAGCTCTGAACTGCACGGGAAAGTGGCTCTGGCTTCGTTCCTGCTCATTCATTCATGAGAGGACCCAAGTCTGGGCTTGGGGTCGTATGGGTTGTCCCCCTGCTGGCGTAAGCCCGTGGTAAATGTTGTTTCCCACTGACCGGGAAGAGCTGTTATTCACAGGGAGCTGTGGCACCTCCTTCCTTCTTCTCTCATAGACTTACAGCATCCTTGCATAGTGCCCATCACAGAGCGCTGTGCCTGAAGTCACAATCTCAGATAAAAGAAAGAACAGAACAAAAAGCTGAAAATAGCTGGATCTCCTCTTCCCTGTCACTGCTGAATTCCCAGTTTTACCTGGAAAAGAAAGGGCTGAAGTGACTACAGGTGAGGGACATGTTGCTCCCGTGGAGCATGATTCTGCTTCCTGCAGGAAGCCTTGCACAGATCATGGAGTTCAATAACACCTTACCCGCTGTCAAGTTTCTCATCTTCAGCAGATTTGTCCTGTGGGAAGGGAATAGGCATGGTCTTTTTTCTCCTTCCCCTCTCCCTGTGACTCTGCATGGTAGTGACAGGCACTGAGAACGCCACAGGGTAGCAAGAACAAACAAATTGTAGGGCCCAAGCCCCCACAAGAGAGTCATCTTCACCCTCCCCACTGGACAGACAGAGGGCTTACTCCTGATTCCTGTATGGAGATTAGGAAGTAAAATGGTCTTTTACCCTCTCCCGCCCCGGGAGCAGAGACAAACCACCCAGGGTCCATTATTCAGACCTGATCTGTGTGCTGCTCATGAAAATAAAAGACACCGGAACATAATTAGAAATAAAATGCCTTTGAACTTCACATAACCTCTAGGATATGTTGATAGATAGCAAACCGCTATTAAGAGGGAAGCAGGGTACCGGAATCCACTTGGCCACTCAGGGCTTTTTGGTTGTTCCAGCACATTCAGCATATTGCAAAGTCCTAATCAAATACTTTCGCCTGCAGGGTAAGCACTAAAAGAGCTTAGACCCAGGAGGCTAAGCACTTGCTGTGCATATTTTCTTGTAGCTATCTCTTTCTGTGCTGCTTTCATTTTAATTAGCTTTATTCTTAAGCATTCATGCTATTGCTTCTCTTGTGGTGGAGGAAGAGGGGGCAGCAGTGGAACCTTGGAAAGTAGCAAAATATGAACCTTGCTAGAGAAATCAGTCTTGCCTCTGCAGCATCATTTGTCTTCCAGAGAGAAAGGAAGTTAACCTTATTAGAAATGGCTTAACATGTCAATCTTGTCTTAAACAATACTGATCATTTGTTTGCTTTTTCTGTGCCTGAAACTTTCTCCCCACCTGTGCAGTAAAATGAGACAAGCAGAATTTATTGAAAAGTGGCTGAAATAATTAATTGAAGGAATTAAAAATAGCTACATTTTTTTTTCACTGAAACTGCAAATGCATTTTGAAGACTTAACCTGGACTGACCATCTGTAGCTGATCAGGGACATTAGCTTCACACAATTGCTTGTTCCGAAAACCCAGAGAATAGCTGGACGCTTGGCTGTGGAGAGGCTACCAGGTTGCTCATACGTGCATTCCCTTGCATGTGTCTAAGCCTTGCTAAACGTGATAGCTGTAAGTTACAGAACTGATTGAGCAGTTTATCTCCCTCAGAAAACCTTAGCAAGTAGTCTCGTTGTGGCAAGGAAGGTTGCTGCCAATCTAGCCTTGGTACAAATTACTTCCAGTGGTCACCTCTGATAATCTCTTTACATTTGGACACGTGAGCAAGAGTCTTCAGTGAGTACCTGAAAAGAGTAGGAATTGAGCTCTTGGAATATCGCTTTATCTTGTCAATCATCACAGTTGGTGTTAGGAGGATGATTATAAGGAGATGAAGGCACATCATAGGATGCCCTAGAGATCTCTTTTCCCCAAACTGAGAAAGGCAAAGATGCTTCTTGTTCATCCAGGACTTTGTAAGTAGAAATGCTGGGAAAAAAACAGGGTTTTAAAAGTAATGACCTACCTTTGCTTTACATACAACATGCAGAAAGTTTTAACTGACTATTTCACTGAATGTTCATTCAGACTTTGTAAGGGGAGAGAAGTAAAAAGAGAAATTCCAAATTATTTATCTGTGGTGTGAAAGGTAAACAACACTGTCGTATAGTCTCCATGGGATCCATTGGGTTTGATTGCTAGGCTTGAGCCTTTTCCTCTCTTGCTTTGTCTTCATGTGTATAGACCAAGGCATGTTTTTGCACTCTAATACTGGAGCAAAGAATTAAGCAAATCCAAAAACCAATGACTCCCCCGGCGCGCTGACGGTGCTTCTCTTTGCTCATTTTTTAAGCTTGCCTGCTATGCTCCCTGCTAATTTTCTCCTTATTTTCCTCAAGCCTTCAGCAGTGATCTATCTCTAAGCAACCCTCTAAGGTTTTCCCCTCCTGAGTTTAATGAGGATTTTGAAGGTGGATCTTTGTCTTAGCTTCCTTCCTTGTTCTTTGTCCACAGAAAGCTGAACCGAAATTTCTTCTTTCTTCCTGGCCCAGATATGAGTTCTGCACCTTGCTAGACAGGTCTCTTTGTGGCAGAGGACTGCCTCTCAACTTAGCTCAGTATATATCAAATCCTTTACTGCAGCCCAGACAGGTGAGATCTGCTGTGTTCCCTGTGTTTAGAAAATCAGTTCCTTTATCAGTGAAAAAAAGCTGGCTTAGCCTGGGAACATCAGTCTTCGTTATACGTTGTAATTTGTCCCATTTTCCACTTTTTTTTGTAACTCTTTCCACAGACGTTTATTCTGAAGTTTTACAGGTTAAACAAATGGTGTGTGGTTGCTTTGGAGCACTTTTTTTCTGTCTAATATATTGGGGCTGCACTGCTATTCTCCAGTCAAACCATCTCTCCTTGCTCCCCTCCTTACTCCTCACATTAGTTTTATGACAAATCTCTTACCAAAATTCACAGTTCATGTACTGGATCTTTAAGAAACCATGGAGTAAGAGTGACTGGTTATTGCTGGGATCTTTGCCTCTTCTCTCTGTCTCTCCAGCGGAGTCCACACAGCTTTTTGCTTTTTTATTCACCTTTACTTGTGGCAGTTTCCCTTTCTGTATCCTCATTCACACACATCTGCTGTCTTGCATTTGCTTCCCTGTTTTACTTCATCCTTTGTATTACAAATAGAGGTTATAAATTCACTTAGTTCTATTTAGTGAACAGAATCCATCAAAGAATTAGTCAGTTGGTTTATATACAGCTGCTATAGTCCCCTCTGGATCATGAATTCAAACTTCACTGACTCAGTTGGGCAGAGTGACTAGAGTGTGTGCTGTATTATTTTTCAATATATCAGGTTTTTAATCCATGTGCTTAAGTTGTATACCTGCAGAATCCTGATAACATAGCAGTAGCTTCCCTCCAGTTCAGATATTTAGAAATGTAACATGCTACATGAATTTTTGGCCCATAACTTTTACTTTGGAGCAGCATAATTTACAGTTAATAAATGGCATAGATCAGCTTCCGCTGACAGCTTAATTTAAAGCATGCTGACACCTCGTAGTGGGCAGCTAAATAATGATATTTAGGCTTTGTTTCAGCAAATTAAGGATTTATTTCAGCAAATAATGGTTTATAAGATTTATACACACATCAAGTTTATTGTAATAGGGTAGATAAAACAAAGAACTCTGATACCAGTTCCCTAGGCAGCTTCAGGACATAGTTTGCCCAGCCTGTCCTTCCATCTGCCTTGGATCTGAAGTTCACTGTGAAGCAATGCATGTCTCTTATTAACAGGCTGCCTTTCAAAAGGGCTCAAGCTGAATTTGGGCGTGCTGTCTCTAACCTAAACTGCTGCAGCTGCTCCCTTCTTACCACTGAAGAACCTCTACACTGGGAAACAGATCATTGTTTCGAGGACAAATCAAACCGCACCATTGCCTTTTGTGCTAGGCTCCGAGTCAACTGTTGCCTAGATGAAAACTGATAGCCATGAAGCAACAAAGAAGAAAGAAATCCTGTTTGCGGTCTTGACTGTCCAGAGTGCTTTTGCACTTGAACCTGGATTTGTTCTTGCATGCTCGGACCATACATCTTCTTTCTTACATACTGCGGGGACAGTATCCAGGCAGCATGCTCACAGGTGAAACAGACACAAGAGGTGATAGATCACTGGAGCTGTTTGCTTTGAGGGGTATTGACTTGGGGATCAAAGCCAGTCATGGATGGGATCAGATTATGAGTACTTGGAAGGAGCGTGCTGTTGAGCCTGATCCTGGTACCCCTGCAACTGGTGATAAATTTCCCTGTGATCCCCTCTTTCTCTAGCCGCAAAATGGGATGATGATACAGATCTCCTTTTATAGCATCCTTTAAAATCTAATGATGAAAGGTTCTTTGGCAGAGTCCTTCTCTGGGGCACAGTACTGTAGTGGTTTTATTGGCTGCACAGAAGGACCATTAGAGTAAAACCTTCAAGGATGGGCTGAGGATCAGCATTTCTGTAGAACCAGGAGTCCTGCCACAGGCTTCCCCTATTTGAACTCTGGTCCTTTTTAAAGAGCATGGTCTGTGTGTGTGTGTGTGAGTGTGTGTGTGTGTGTTTGTGTGTGTGTGTGTGTGTGTGTGTATAATAGGAAAGCTTTTTGAATAGTTGGAGTATGACAAGTTTAGACAATTCACTGGGCATTGGAAAAGGGAGGAGTATCTGAATACATATACTTTGAAGAAGACCTGGAGACCTGTTACCCATAAACACAGCTTCTTATGTCCCATGGGCCCTACAATGCATTATCTCTTTGTCACATCACTTAGGGATTTCATATTTTTTCTGTAATCAAGGCTTCTACCTCCTCATTCTTCTTTCCACCCAATGGTTTCTCACTTCTCTCTTCCCAGTGTCTTTTCAGCTGTTCTTCCACAACTCTCAGCATTTTTTGTTTGTTTGTTTTTGTTTCAAATAGGTGGCATTATAAATGACAGTGCTAGTTAGGGTTTCCATGGAGTCAACAGGCAGCTGCAGTCACTGATGTTAGAGAAATTCAGAGCAGGGGAAGCTTGAGCAAGAGTTGCAAGGAGAAAACAGGGTGATGCAAAGGTTACAATGAGAGAGGAGAAGCTGAGAGAGGCGACACTACAGGGCAGGTGTCTCTATCATAATAAACAGGCATAGCTGGAGGTGGCAACACTGAGGAACTGCTGCTTGGGGAACTCAGCATCCAAAAGCCCATTGGAGCTGCATCTCAGCAACAGCCCAGCAATTATGGGCTCTTGCTTGGAGGATTATTTGGCAGTGATCTAGGGGGAGGTATAAGCAGACAAATTCAAAATTGAAGAATTTAAAATCGAAGCTGCTGAAGATTTAGATTCTTCCTCCAAGGCAAATGGTAATTCAGGTGAGATGGACCTGGGAAGATTTAAGCTTTTGCTTCTTGTTTAAGGTCTCTCTGTGCAGCCATACTACTCGCTGTGTGTGGTTTATGGGAAAGAGGGGCTTTCTATAAATGAAATCAGCCCCTACACATCCTTTCTGCTAGTAACCAGCCGTACAGGCTGTATTTTACAGAGACTTTTCCCCATATGGCTTACACTATTAATATTTTTTCTCAGCATATACTGCCTTCTCGACTGAAGCTCACTCCCTGGTTTTTGAGGCCAGAGTTACAGTAAGGGATATATCCTTAGCAGGATGAAATCACCTCCTGTTAAACCTGAGCATCAAAGACTGCAAGAGGTGCACATGCTCCCACTCTCTCTCTGAGACGTTATGTCGAGAACTTCATCTGTATGACCCTGAAGAACTAGGGCTATTTACCCTATATGGATAATATATGAAGCCTTTTGGCTACGATTTGCCTTCCTTTAAAATCCTGACAGCCATGTCACTGCATTCGCATGCTCTAGTCAGTTAGCATAGCTGCTGTAGGCACTGAGCAAATCCGTTGAGCAGATGCATTCCTGAGGTATAAAAACCATCAGGGGACTCACCACCGCTGGCCAGGCTCACTGGTGTTACAGCCTTTTTAATCAATTACAGACGACTCTATCTGAAAGTCTTTTGAGAGTATCTGATATGTAATCAGGACCATCTGCAAGTGTTAAATTCCTACTAGATTAATTTGTTGCTGCATGCAGCCAGGATTTTCATAAGGCACAGTTTGGAAGAGCAGCAAGAGGGTGCAAACACCTTTGCACCCATGCAATGCCTGGAGGTTGAACTAACTTAATTATTAAGTCCATGAGATTTTTCTGAAACACTGTAGTTCTTGACTTGTACTGGCTTATACATTAAAGGCCATGGGACATACCTCAGTATTTCGTTCTTAGATTTCCCTAAAGTATTGTAAAGAGCTGGATAATAGTCATCACTGTATCTCCTGTCATTTGCACAGCACTTCAAGAAGATGCTATCTAAAGCAAGCTTTGCCAATGTTTTTTTAAGAATCAGCCCAAAAGGGAGTATATAAAGTAACATTCATCTCTGGCATAAGTTACTGCTTTGCCTAGCCAAAAAGATACCTACTGCCTTTTTCATCCTTCTTTTGAACTTACTTATGCATCCACTAGCATCTTGAGCAATCAAGAATGCTTGAGGCTCTGGAAAGCCATAGATTTAAAGCATTAACTGAGGAATAAAGGAAATAAAGGAGCAGGGTCACTGTTCTCCCCAGTTCCCTTTTAAACAGAGATAGATAGCACAACAGAAAGGAGGAAAGCTGTTGTGCCAGTAAAACGATAGAGGCCAGTCCTGCAGGCTAGAACTGGAGGAGGGTATTCGTGAGCCCAATTCACTCCTTGTGGTTGGAAAAGACAAGGCAGCAAGGTGGCAGAGCACCGTCACCTCTGCCCTCCCCACCAGGAGAAAGACACGGTGCTTCCCAGGGGAGCCGGGGTGCTGCCCAGCGGAGGCACGCTCTCCGGCCTCCTGCCTGGGCTGGAGCTGGCTTTTTATTACTGCGGTCACAGAGCAGGTCACTGAGACAGCAGTGTGGATGTGCTTTGCCTTTTTCTAGGGGGCAGTTCTACCTTGTGGCCTGGAGCTTTGGTCCCTGATATTTTTGTTTCTCAGACCATAGCAGTCTTTTTTTTTTCTCTTTAACTCAGGTAAGCAGTGAAATTATTATAAATGTGGTGTTGCCAGCGCTCAGGATTTTGCCACAGCCCTCCTAAGATTAGTTACTTTCCCTGGAGCTCCAGCTCTTGGTTTTATTTAAATACGTAAAAATCTCAGCTAATTTATAATTTAAAAGACTTTAACCTAAAGAGCTACAGGGAGGGAAAGGCAAAAATATATGATGCTCAACAGGTGCAGACCAAAAGTAAAATAATTATATATTCTAAATGTTAGTGTTACTTTAAGAGATTGGGTAGGAGGAGAGGGGAGCTGATCTACTCTTTTGAAACATTTGGGCTTGGCTTTGCTGCATACCTGCTGTTCTGTTCCTTCAGTGTATAGCCAGTGTATGTAACTAAAAATCTCCATTTATGTTCATAGTACCTTTAGCGGGTATTGGTAACGCTCATGTGGGAGTCAGTGGAGAATGTGGCAACTGCAGGCTTGAGCAAGGGACGTTCCACAACCCTGGAAATGCTCCTGGGTTCAAGTGCATGCGTCCTCCTGTAGCCTCTGAGGGTGCGTGCGCCCACTGATATGAGCTGAACTGCAGCTGTGTGGGAAATGTTTTCTCAGTCAAAGCCTTAGGATAATGGCCCAAAGAACCTGGCAAATATTGCTAGATGAGGATCTTAATTTTTCAACATCAGAACAGCAGACGGTCCGAATCGAAAAGATATTTGACACCAGATAATCATGTTAAGTGCAGTATTGTGTCTCAGCACTATACGGCTCTTTCAGCCTCTTTGTTTATAGTTCAGAGCCGTTGTATGACCATTTTTTGACCTAGATCGGGTAAAAAATCATAAACATTCTTAAAAACTCATGTACAGGAAGCTTAACTGCGGGCTCTGAGCCTTTGGCGTAGTGGAAACTTTGCAGGCACGGAGTTGCAGAGGTTTCAGTGAAATCAGTAAGTCTCTCAGTTCTGTTCAGAGCTTGAATCACAAAGTACTTAGGCACATAATTAACATTTTTTGGTCTATTTTTAAGTCTTTCTGGAGCTGCGCAGTTAAGCACCTGTTAGAGTTAAGCACGCACTCTTCTGTATTAGGCCTTTGATGCAGTACTCTGACTTAAGTCAGCAGGGGATTTTTCTGGGTAATAACTACAAGGTTTTGTCCCTTGCCTCTTATTATTTCTCTTCCTTTCAGGTACCAAGATTATCTTAAATATCTTTGAATAATAATTATTTTTAACCTTTCCTCACAGGAGTTTTTGCATTTGGGCTTTTTGCCACTGACATATTTGTAAATGCTGGTCAGGTTGTGACTGGGAACTTGGCTCCGTACTTTCTGACTGTATGTAAGCCCAACTACACAGGAAATGACTGCCGGGCCCATCACCAGTTCATAAACAATGGGAACATCTGCACTGGGGATATGGAGGTGATTGAGAAGGCAAGGAGATCTTTTCCATCCAAACATGCTGCTCTGAGCATCTACTCAGCTTTATATGCCACGGTGAGTGCCAGTGATGGTCGCTAGCTTGTATGAGAGGTTTCTGTCTCTGCATCCAGGTGGGGCTCATTTTCTCACGGTGGCATTTCGAAGAAAGAGAGGATTGTGTGTGTTTTCTTTTTCACTTGTTTATTCATGGGGGGGGGGGGGAATCCCCTTCTCTCTCTCTGTTTTATCAGTACTAGTGTAAGCAAATCCAGTTCTCATTGCTTTTGGGTCATTGCGTGATGTGGAGGCGTGAGATCTTGTTTTTTATGCTGATTTTCTCTGGGGTCGTGGAGTAAGCATGTAACCTTTTCCCCTTCGTTCCCCAGTCTCCACAGCATTAAAATTAAGTTGACGCTCATATGGCTCCTGGATTTTTACTGTTCCTCTTGTTCACTTGCTAGGGACTGCTTTGTTCACTTGCTAGGGACTGCTGAACACATAAAATGTAAGTTGTGCCATTTCAACAGAAGGCTGAACTGGGCTGACTTTTGCTTCTCTTATTTAGGACCTGAATTCCCCATGCAAAGAAGGTTTGAATAAAAGTCACTGCCAGAATTTCCATGACATAATAGAGAAATGGATCCCCAGTTGACCTCTTGAGAAAGGCAATACTGCAATTCTGTCAGGAAAGAAATTATCTTTCTTTAAAAGTCTCTTGAAACACATTGGCTGCCCTGTTGTGTTCTCTGGCCAAAGTTCATGTAATGATTTGAAAACTGACGTGAGAAGCTTGCTCAGAAGAGCATGCTGACCCAGGTCACCTTGGTGGTGTTGCCATTAAGATCGAAGTTCTGATTTGACTACGAGCTGTCTGGGGATTTTTCCCCCAATAGCCTGACACAAAAGAGTGGCAAAGTCCGGCTGTAAGTCATCAGGATTTGAGAGCAGCCTTAAACTTATTAAAGACCCCTGTCTTTAATTTGCTGAATAATTTATGCTGAGCTTGATAACAGATTAATGAAAGTCCATTATTATTACCATGAAATTGTGATACCACCCCACTGCTCTTCTATTTACTGCCTATTTGCATTGAATTTCGTGTGAATTATGACAGAGATGTAAACTGTTAATTCTTTTGATCAGAGTTTTTTGGGAAGTGTTTGGAAAGCTCATACTCTTTTATGGGCATTATCTCCAAATAATAAACAACCATAAGTGAAAAGCAGCTCCCAATAAACTGAACATCATTGTAGCAGGTGTTTGCATCGTGAATAACTCTTAGACAGCTGCTCCAAGGTCAGGCTTGGTCCTGGCTTTGCTCTACCCTTGCAGCAATGGCATTAGTAACATCCTTTCATGGATTTCCCCAGACCAACTTCCCATGATTCCTGGGAAGACAAGACTTCTCTGAACAGGTCGATTTCTAGGACTGAAAGGAACTAGAAATTATTGCTATTACTATTACTGCAACTATTTCCCCATCGTTCAGCATTTCTGAGCCCAAGTCTTTTGAGGGTACCTGTGTGACTTGCTCCACTGCACTAAAGGGGAGTGAATGGCACATGAGGAGGGACGAGCCCCTCTCCCACACGGCAAGAGTTTCTCCCAAACCTTTGCAGCAGATGTGCAGATGGTAAGGGTGTGCACCTGATTTTCCAAGGCTAAGGCAGGACTTTATAACCTACAGATTTTACGCAGTCCGGGCCACTTGGCTAGACCATCGAGCTACTTCTGTTCCACCTTCTAGCTTGGAAGGTGCTGTCATTTGTCTTTCCTCTATCTGCGAGCAGGATTAGCGTGAGCATAATACAAGACACCCAGTGCTGGTCTGCTCAGGTCCAGCTTTGCTTAGTAATTTTGCTGTGTACAGGTCTTCGGGGGATAACTTATTGATTGTAATATGTATGATAGGGTGGGTTGTTGAGCATAAAATACAGGGTGTTTGTTTAGTAGTAACTGTGCTTTGCATAAGGCTGAATTTTAGTCACATAGCAAGAAAAACAAAAAAGATATAACATGAGGATGCAGGGGAGGGGCATCGGTATAGATACTGTCTTTTATCCCTCAGCTCACTGTTGAGGTTTGGGAGACCTCTCCCATCATTGACCATAGAGTATCCTCTGCAAATGGATACTGTACTGATTTGTTCATTAGCTCAGCTAGTGACAGCACTTTCATTGTGTTTAGCTGTGTGTTTTGTTTTGTCTTGTTTTTTTATCTGAATTTTATGTTCAAGGAGCTAGGGTGTTTTTTTGTCATTTGCCAAAGAAGCTGTGGAGCACCAAAAGTATCAGTTTTGTGATCTCTTCATGCCAAGATCTGTGAATCTTGTAAGCCTAATGCAAGGGAAGGAAAAACTAAGCAGCAACCCTGGCTTCCATACTTAAACAAAAATTAGAGTGATAGCTAACAAAGTTTTGTTAATCCCCCAGAGCCAGGGCAGGAAGAGAGGCCAGTTAGTGTTTGCCTAGTATAGGCTTCTGTGCAGTTAGAAACACCTGCTTCTAATTACTTTTTCCATGGGAAAATGATACTATAGAAATATTCCTGAACTTATTAACATTTCTGGCAAAAACAAACCGCGCCCCTAGAAGAGAAAATTGTGTGGAATGAAAGCAAGAAGAACTCTTTTACCGTCACGACAGGGTGTCTGTGATTGAAAGCTACAAATAGTCACTTTAGTCAACAGTTTGGTAATATTTTTAGGCTTCCTCAGCTAAGCTGTTGCCTTGCAGTACCCACAGGTAATGCTTTCTGTCACATCCATCTGGCTAGAAGATTCTGCCACATCACAGTGGACCATGACCTGGCTCCTATTATTTACACCTGGGTTGCTTATTAACGAGATTAGAGGGATACAATACACATGGACATTAAACTTTTAACATTTGGGTAATTCTAACTAGCCCAGAACACTGCAGCAAATCCCTTCTGCAACCTAGGTAACTGTGACCCCACTGACATTTCTGCATTAACATCCGCTAGACAATCCATGAAGTTCACAGCACTTGGGCTGCTGCAGTGAGTATCTAGGAGATTGTATCGTGTTCTGCAACAAAGATTATTGTCAAAGGCTCTGTTTCTCTGTTACTGTTGAAACCCCTACAGTAAGTGAAAAGACTGTCTGTAAAGCTTGTAGGACACACAGTTTTCTGGTGCTGCTCTGAAACTGTGAACTCTCCAAGAAAAATGAACTGTAACAAACCTCCCTACCTTGTGCTCAAAGGATAAGACAGAGTTCTTCCACTCTACCTTGCTTATTCCCTGTAAATATATGTAAATACATATATGCCCATTTAAAACATACAAACTAAAAAGTTTCCCAGACTATATATGATTTTGTCACTCAGAAGAAGGTAAGAGAGAAATGACACACCAGGTGAGTGCTATCACACACAACACATTGCTAAATACACTGCTTGAGTGTACTAATGCAACAAAGAAACTGAGTAGTATACTTATATAATTAAATCATGGCTAATTTATTTTCATGTATGATTTATTCTGTTTTCTTCAAATATTTTTATATTCACTTCTTCCCCCTCTTTCACACATCAAATAACTCTTTCTGGCAGTTACACTTTTGCAAACAAATCTACCCCTTAAATAATATTGTGGGAGATTTTCAGAAATATCTCCAGAGTGCAGGTAGTCAAACATAGATGATTTTCACTGAGATTTTGGGATCTTAAGCAAGGCTTTGAAGTGAAGGGGCAAAGACATGAGAATCTGCAAAAACACCTTGGTTTTAGGGACTAAGACAATAAAGATCAAAACGCAGCGATAGGCAGGTCTGACCAGAATAGAGATTCTCACCCAGATTTTTCTGGAGTGGAGCTTGTAATTTATGCATGAACTAGAGGATGTCTTCTGGGAAAACAGTCTGTCTTGTTTTGAAACTTCCTAGTGATGGAGAATCCATCACTTCCTCTGGCAATCTGTTCTCATGGATAATTATCTTCATTGCTAAAAATGTCCTCTTTACTACAAGTTTACATTTTCCTGCCAATATATATGAAATTTCAAACAAATTAGGCACATCCCATTTATAATAAGGAGAGCACTCTCATGTGGGCAGCCCAAAGATGCAATTTAATCTCATACCTTTAAGAAAACCAGCATGAAGGGGTTGTTCTCTGTAGCTAGGATTTGAAGCTGTCTCAGCAGGGCTGTGTTGTTACTTTAAACAGCTGATGATTTTCCCTTGGATGCTGTAAACTGCAGTAGTGCTTTGGTGGGGAACAGGAAAACAATCCGGCTCCTTATTGCTCGTTTGAATTGGCTTCTCCTAGAGGAAATACATATGGTGAAAGGATGGGCGGTAATTATTCATGAAGTGGCACTTCACTTCTGTAATATTATTTCCTATTGTTTCCGTAGAAAAACCTTAAAGTGACTTTTCATGATACTCAGGTGCAGCTCAACCTACCAGCAAAGAGTGAGGAAAGATTGCCGCCTAGTGCTCAGTCACTTGCCGTCATTTCAAGGCATGTGCTGCTGTTGGATATTAAGTTGGCAGCACAAGGCAAGCAGGATCCTCTGGAATAGCTTAGTCCTACTCACAGTGCTATCGCACCATCATATCCCAATCCATAAACAGAATTGGCTTTAAAATGGTATGCTGAGCAGCACTTCTGAGGGTAGAAAAGTTTGCTTCCCCAGACAGAGACCTTTTTTCTAATAGCCAATTTATTTTCTCCAGATGACACTCCTGGGTTACAGTGCGTGGTTCCCTGTTGTCACAGGTGATCACATCCCAGAGTCCCTTTTGCATAACTCACATCTTAAAATGAGCTAGTTAGGTGGAGGCTGCTTGGGTGCTCTGCCCCTGTAACAAAACATTCCAAATCGACTTGTTCTGTAATCCTGAAAAACTTCATTAACTGCTAGGCCACTCTCCATCATCTTTGAAAGGTCATGGCAATCAGGAGAGGTGCCCGAAGACTAGAAGAAAACAAATGGCACCCTAGTCTTCCAAAAGGAGCAAGAAGGAGGAGCCAGGAAACTACAGGCCAGTCGGCCTCACCTCAGTCCCATCCAAAAGGTGATGGAACAGCTCATCCTGGAGGACAAGAAGGTGATCAGGAGTAGTCAGCACGGATTCACCCAAGGGAAATCATGCTTGACCGATCTGAGAGCCTTCTCTGATGGGATGACTGGCTGGGTAGATGAGGGGAGAGCAGTGGATGTTGTCTATGTGGACTTCAGCAAGGCTTTCGACACTGTCTGCCATCACGTCCTCCTAGGGAAACTCAGGAAGTGTGAGCTAAATGAGTGGACAGTGAGGTGGACTGACTGACTGGCTGGATGGCCGAGCTCAGAGGGTTGTGGTCAGTGGCGCAAAGTCTAGCTGGAGGCCTGTAGCTAGCAGTGATCCCCAGAGGTCAGTCCTGGCTCCGGTCTTGTTCAGCGTATTCATCAGTGACCTGGAGGAAGGGACAGAGTGCACCCTCAGCAAGTTTGCTGATGATACAGAAC